ATATACACATCGTGTATGCATATGTATATAACACGGGCCGGTGGGTATATATACATATAACCCATACACGTGTACATATAACACACATCGCGGTTAGCAACAAAAACACATATATACATATAATACATATACATGTATACATATAATACCTACATATAAACATGTGTACATATAACACAAAAAATGAGAAAATAAGAAAAAATAGGATAATCTCTCGTTGATCAGCGAGAGAAAGGCCATAAATTAGTTTCTTCGTAGATCCCTCACTGATCAGCGAGGGGTCAGCGAGGGAATGGCCATTCCACCACTGATCCGCGAGGGATTATCCTATTTTTCTTATTTTCTCATTTTTTGTGTTATATGTATACATGTTTATGTGTAGGTGTCATATGTATATATGTATACGTGTTATATGTATATATGTGTTTATGTATAAGTGTCATATGTATACATGTATGTGTATATGCAGTATGTGTTATATGTACACATGTGTATGTGTTATATGTATATATACCTCCCGGCCCATGTTATATACATAAGCATAGATGATGTGTATATATGTTTGTTGGTTGCTAACCAAGAATAGATTTATGTATATAGTGTTGAAGATATATGTATATGATGTTGTATATATGTTTAAATGTATGTATATATGTGAATGTCTAGATAATGTGTGTGTTATATGTACATGTGTATCTGTTATATGTATATATACTCGTTGGCCCGTGTTATATACATATGTATACACAATGAATATAGATTCAGTTTTATTGGGCCTTAATGAGCTTTATTCGTTTATATTGGGCCTTAATTCATTTATTAGGCTTTATTCAATTTTAGTGTCTTAATGGATTTTATTGGGCTTAATAGGCCTTATTAGGCTTTATTCAATTTTATTGAGTTTTAATCTATTTTATTGGGCCTTATTCGGTTTAATTGGGTCTTAGTGGGATTTATTCATTTTTATTAGGGTTTATTCAATTTTAGTGCGCCTTAATGAGCTTTATTAGTCTTTATTTGGTTTTATTAGGCTTAATGTGCCTTATTGTGCTTTATTCGGTTTTATTTGTCGATAAACGTTTACCCTATAAACATATCATAACCGACCCTAAATGTATCTACTCTAGATTAAGATTTACCTTTAATTTTTATTGTAAGAGAAGTAATATTTTTCAGTAACCTAGATTGTTTCTTTGGAATATTTACCAAGAGGTTGAAATTGCACAAAATCACATGTGATTTTACATTAATGTCAAAAAAACGAAGCGTGCGATTTTGCCGTGACTTAAGTCGTGGGAAAAGTTACGACGAATCATGTATGATTTTGTACGTGAATCACAAATGATTTAGTTCATTAACGACTTTTTTCCTTATTTTCTTAAATAATTAACGTTTTCATTTGAGCTTGTCCTTATTTATCAAACGACAATATTTTATTTGTTACCAAATCATATAGTCATTTAATCATATTGATCACTTGACAATTTAGTATCTATCAAACAACCCCAACATGGATATCTGAGTGTGTGTTTTCAAAATAGGAAATTAAATAATTAACTTTAACAAAATGATTAAACTCAAAAATATTAAAAATTAGTTTGTTTACAAAACTTCTTGTCTCAATAGATTATTAATTAGCCTCATGACCCAGATGATCATTTACTATGAATTATAATCAAACAGAATTTCAAAATCGTCTTGCCTGATATATATATATATATATATATATATATATATATATATATATATATATATATATATATATA